TCGGTCTGCCGTGTTCCCTGGTCTCCTATGCTATACCTTGCTATCCTCTTACTTGTGTCTTAAAGGTCTTGCTAATTGTTGGAAATCTAAAAACAACTACAAAGCTTCCAAGTTGTTACACGGATCCTTCTCTGGCTTATAATTCGTTTGCATTGGACTCACTCAGTGCAGCCCTAGTTATAAAGAGGGTTCTCTGCTATGTTGTCATAATCTTCATTCCTGCCTTGTAGTGTCTCACGGTATCCCTTCATCCCTTCTACAACCCTTTGCATTGCAGCCATCACATAAAATTATGCCCTGATCACTGCTTCAATTCACCGGCCCACATGCCTTGAGTGTCCACTTTAGTTTCCTCACATTCCTGCCCAAAGTTTACCCAGCAACCTCAGGAGAACAAAAGACATGAATCCATCCCTCAAGCGCTATAAAACTCTCGGGTAAAAATATCTGCCACATAAGCCTGAAATAGATCACATATTGACTGGCATGTGCTAGGAAATTAAACTTTAGGAATTTGTACTTTGTTGTATTCTTGCTGAGGAATAAATTACCCATCTGTCACACTGGCCGTTGAGGCTTCCATCTGTTAAAATTACATAATTTTGTGAGATTAAGTAATAAGTTCATATCCACCTAAGGCATAGGGAATCAAAGAGAGTATGAAAAGTGTACAGATGAAATAGAAAATTAGCTAGCTCATACATAGCTAGCTAGCTAACATAGCTCAAATAGTTCACAATTTCCTTGCAGAAAGTCCAACTTTCAAGACAACTTGTTAGCAACCAGCTAGCTAAGATTAGCAAAACAAACTATATTAATGAGGGAACAGTGACAGTACAAATTTTCTCTATGTCTCAATGACAAGCGTGTTTGTTCTTGGAAGTCAGAATTTCAGGCAGATTTGGTTAGCTTGAATTGCTAATAGAATGTAGCCTGGTCACTAGCATAACAGTTAGCAAATCTCACTGGTTTTCCGGCTTCTAATTAGAACTCAACTAAGGTGCGACATCATTCATGAGCTTTGACTTTCGAATCAATTTTACCTACATTGAGTCTGTAAGAAGGATATCTACAGTTAATGTAGGATCATTTCTATTGAATGGAATAGAACAACTTTATCTTTCCCCTTACTGGTGACAGAAGCTGTTCTATGAGAAGGGCTCCATCACCAAGTATTCTGACATAGTTACACAGATCCCTTAACAAATCCAGAGGAACAAGTGCATTAAACCACATGAAAGAAATGTCTAAAGCTACAGTAAACAGTTAAGAGGAAAAGCTGTAACCATATTAAGGAGTTTAAAGTAGATATGATTTATTGTAGATGTTTTTCCAGGCCAGTAATTATTACTGCCATTCATTGTAAAGATGAAAATATTAAAGACAAATTAATTACAGTCTTGGAAGCTGTGCAATACAATTATTAAAATTTACCAGAAAGAGAAGGATCTGCCGCAGTTGATGGAATGTATTTTTTGCAGAAAAATGAGTGAAAGTAAAAGTACGTTTTTTAAGAACGAAATGTGAATGCATGACAGACATCTGTGAGGTTATTTTTTCGTGGAGTGTGCCCTCTACAGTATGGAGTCCTTTGTGTGTGTGTGTGTGTGAAAGTTTGTGTGCGTGTGTGTGCAAGTGCGTTTATGTGTGAAGGTTACTCCAAGTGTCACTGGGAGTCAGAGATGTGGAAAGCAAAGCAAAGTACACTAAGAGGGCGGCGTAGCGTGACACCCTTCTGCGTCTGGACGATGCATTCAGATATAATATTTACCTCTTCCAGCACGTTTCTTAAACACCCTGAGAAAGAATACCATTTGAGAATAATTTAGTGAGGGAAAAGAAGTCTCCAAGAAAAAAGGTTGGATAGTTTTAGTCTCAGAGCAACCTCTGAGTTTTATGACTGGAGTTTGAATGAGATAAATTCTGAACTTAGTTCGGCACAGATCCCTAAAAAGTCAGTGACATCCTAATCCTGTTTCTCAAATTGATAAATAAATGACCATTGGGAATCATTTATAAACAACAGAATGCTAAGCTAACTTGAAAATACCTTGCATCTGAGCACCCTAGTTAGGATATAAACCAGGAAATGAAGGGAGTTTAAACCTTTCAGAGGGTGAGATCTGTATTATAATATGTAACTCATGCTTTGAAATGTTGACTATTTTATACTAAAATGAGACAAATCTCTTGATAAAAAGCTCCCTGGTCAATATAGTTATAACACGTTCCATCCTGAAGAATAACTTGTGGTAGTTTTCTCCTTAAATCTTTTGGGTGGGCTACGCGGACCTCTCCTTACATTCCTGGGAGAAATTGCATTCTGTTTCCAGCTAAGGTGGTTTGGTGCCAGGATCTGTTCTGTGTCCCTCTGTTTGTGTAAGTTTGTCAGAGCGCGTGCGGAGGGCCGTGCTCCACCGTCTGCCGACTGCTGATTTGCTCACATCACTCTGATTCAGACCTGTAGTCCAGATCTCAGTTTCTGAATCCATCCATTGTTTCTCTAAATAACCAGAGGGACACAAAGAGGCTGGCTTTAAAACCTGTTTTTAGAAGAGGTATATTCTACACGCTGTTCATAGCTGAGACAGAATTAACTCTGTCTGCGTTTCCTCGGTGCCAGGAATTCAACATGACAGATTCACATGTGGCTACAATCTTGATTCCCAGTTAAGATTCCTCAATCCACCACAAGAAAGTCACCTGCCAAGGTCACATCAAAGATGTGTACACCCAATTTTCCTCTTATTATTATCCATTTATCTTAAAATGATGTTCTTTATTTGCCTTTGAGTTTTAAAGTTTAGGAAGTTCGAAAGTAGCTTTATCGTTTCTCATAACTACTCAAACACTTTTTTATGGCTATTTGATAGATTTTAGGTTACAGGTGCTTGGTCTAGTTTTTGATGATGTTGGTAGAGAAATGGTGTCTTTTATTAATAACAAGAATCCAGAAAGAAATCCTGTGATCATTAGCCTTGCATTAAAGTTAGATGTAATATATGTTACAAAGCATCTTTGTGTACTTTTAAATCACTGCTTATAAACGTTTATAATGTTAATATTTAGTGTGAGTATTGAGTATTTCTCAAAGCTGCACTTTGCTATGCTAAACTAAGGTGACACATGTCAAGCTAAGTTAAGCTACGCTAATAAAAACATACTTAACTTATTTCTTTCCGCGACTCTTCTCTTTTCCTCTTACATGACTTTGACGCATCGTCTGAATCGTCTCTGTCGGCTCTGTGATGGACTGGTTACCTGTTTGGGGTAACCAGTCCACCTTGTGGCTCCTGTAAATGGACACCAATCCTACTGCCACACTGAACAGGATTAGGCCGGCAGAGAAAATTAACGAAGGGTCGTTATGTTTTTTTTTGCTTTCTTTCACCAGATTGCTTTCTGATACCAAACTCTCGTCTATTCCAGCGAATTCTTTTGCCAGCGTGGTCAACATCTCAGGGATGTAAGTGCTTATTTTTCTTTCTTATATGCACATCTATGCATCTTCACATCTCTTTTTTTTTTTACATTCACCTGCTGTTTTTGGAACACGACTTAGGGCTGCCATGTTTTATCCTTTGTCCCTCTACCCAAGAACAGTATCTGCTCTTTTCAGTACCATTTCTGAGCCCTAATTAAACCTATAGAAGGTTTTCTTCAGTATGAATGTTGGCCCTTAAACCACAGCAGGCTCAGACATTCACTGGGGAGGAGCTTTGAGTGTGTGTTGGACTCCCAGTAGAGGTGGAGATTTTTTGTTGAAGTAAGACGTGACATTTCAGTGCTCTCGAGTCTTGCTCTTCAGCTGCCTGGTGCATGTCCAAGATCCGCATGAGTGGAGATGGACTCGGACGAGAAGCTTTCTGTGAGCCTCAAGTGTCTCTAGCTAAAGTTCCTACTGACTCATGTCATGAAGGACATGAGAAAAAAAATATATTAATTAAAAATGCAGCTATTTCTTATGGTGTGATGCTATCTGAAAACCAAAAAAAACAACCATAAACTTTAAAGCATTTTACTGAGATCTTACATAATAAATGACAACTGTGAAGTGGAAGAAAGGAAACTTAACGGGCCAGTGTTAGGTAAAATTGATTTTTTTTTCTGCTTGACATTATGTCATAATGTTATTCCATCATCAAAAACATACCTAGATTGTTGCTTTGATTCTTTCATGCATGTTTGAGAAATCCTTTAATCTCCCATGGCAACCATTCAGCTGTGCAAAACGCTTGGGTGGACCTAGCCCCACCTTCAAGACGTAGCTCCTCCTCAGAGCTGCAGTTTCCGAGCTTCCGCTTCCCAGAGCAGCTCTCCCCCACGACTCCCATTCACTACAAATCTGACCTTTATGGAAAAGCAGCCATATGTGACACGAAACTATCAGAAGCCATATTAATGTTTGGCAGAAGTCATATTGACAAAGGTTCTCCAGTCAGAAGACAAGAAACCAAGCATGCAAACAAAAAGCCATTCATTATTTTCTTTATGCTTCACAATAATACACTACTTTCTGCTGATCTACAACATAAAATCCCAATGCATGTTTTGAAGAAAACAGACTATATTTGCTGGATTCTGTCTTCCAGATACATCTACGTGGATAAGAAGCTGCAGCGCCTGGAGAGGCACTCGTTTTACAACCTGAGGAAAATCACCCACATGTAAGTCGCTAACGGGAAAGGAAAAGTGCTCTTTATTGATCCCCTATTGACTAAACTGATCCATTTGCTCAGTGGAGGGGAACAGAATGCTTCATGTCGAAGGCTGCCTGTGGCTAATAAGAGTCGGTAGCTAAGTTCATTAGCCACAGAAGTTGCTGTGGCTAAACTTCATAAATTTATGGAGCCTAAAAAAAAATTTTCATTTTGGGGATTTCTTGATCCTGACTTGCAACAAATCCAATGAGTTTAACTAAAGTGAGCTATGTTATTCTTGGTTTCACTCTTTAAAGTGTATTAGGGCGGAGAAGTTAAACAGCAGCTTATATAAGTGAGAGATTTATGGCTGCACATCTGTCTGAATAAAACATTTTCCACTGGAAAACCCACTTGTGCGTTCTATATTATAGGATGAGTCGCTACAAGTTGGAGCACTTTCTAAAGCAACGATCTGTGTTAACATATAGGGAGCGCGACTACAGAAATCAAGCTTAAATGACCTAAATCCGCATTTGGCCGACGGTTCCGTCTTAATTGCCCTCGTCTTTCCTTTAAAGCTGCTGAGTTCCAGAGCTCGGCATCACAGACGGGAGCCGTAATCCAAACTGCCAGCTGAGGGCCGTATCTGGGCTAGGAGGGTGTGTGTTTTTGGATCTTCGGGGCCTCTTTGCCACTGATTGGTGCAATCTAGCGCCATACCTAAGATAATGGGATCTCTCTCAGGTTTCCTTCAGGGTCAGACAAAAATGAATGCTCCTCTTCCTGCTGGCTGCTCCTGGCAGACGGCAGCTGTGCATCAAGGACTGGAGTTGGGGAGGGGAAGTTTGAGGTTTTATTTTTTTGTGCAGTTGTTTAATTTGAGCCATCCATTTCATGAGTAATGGCAAAGCAAGTCCTTTTCATTTTCTAGATCTCAGCTTATCATCATGGTTTGCAGGTCTTTGTGTCTTGATCCCTTTCTTGTTGTTTTTTAATTTATATTGTATATTCAGTTCATTTCTCTGCTCATTATTAGGAAGGTGTTTCCATACAAGCTTAAATACTGCAATTTCCCAAAAAAACTCAAGTTTTTCATCAATTTCTGCACAGCCGGTTTTTTGTTTGTTTGTTTGTTTTTGCTGTATCCAAATCAGTGTATTTCACAAAACCTCAATGGAAACACTGTTTTCGCATCATATAAGTCATGTGATCAACAACCAGATGTCACTACTGGCGGAAACGACGAAGAAGACGACAGGAAGTGGTAGAAGGAAGATGTGGTAGCTGAAGATGGTGCTTTACTTCTTACATCTTCTGAGTTGCCTGGACTTTTACAGGTTCTGAGCACTGGTCAATCCAATGAGTGTTGTCAAAAAATGATCTTTCTATACTGGCAAAAGAGAAACTGCACACAAGATGGCGGTGAGCCTTGGCCTTGTCAAGTTAAAAGCCACTCTGGAACTGTCAGGATCTGACTTTCTCCTAAATCTGTCCCTGTTTGTGCCCTGTGTGCAGACCTACTTTTTCCATTTGTTTGACAAAGATTGGTTGGGTAGAAGAATGTCACCCTTATTCCAAGTTGCACACCAATCGCGGTATGTGGAATGGAAGCCGAAGTGACTCTGAGGAAGATTATTTACAGGCTGTGGTTTGTGGCGATTTTGAATATAATCTCGAAAGCCACTGGAAAACTGCAGTCCGAAATGTAGACTTGACACTTAGTGACATCACACAGAGAAGATTGAAGGGTACATGGCGTTCAGTTTAGGTCAGTGGAGTTCAAGCATGACTTGTATCCATCTGTATTGGGTGTTAATAAAGCCATAATCGACTCGAGGCTTTGATTTATCCCATGCCTCCACTGGCACCTTCAAACCCAGTGCCCCTGCACAGGCTTCTCTTCCTCAGAATGAGAACACCAAAATGCTCAAACTGTTCACAAATGCTGAAAATAAATGTCTGCAATCTACAGCAATCAGTTCATGAAACGATTTGGAGGACTGGCATCATTCCACAGCTTCAGAAATCTTCCCTGATGTAATGCCTTCTTTGGTAATATTGCATTTTTCTGTGGAGACTTTAAAGCAAAGAGAATTGTTCTTCCATTCAGGCATGTTGACTTCTGTTTTGGGAAAATAAGACAAGGAACAAGAAGGCAACATGCAGAAGAAAAGACTTGATACTTGATCTGAAGCCAGATCGTGTCAAAATATACCTAATTCTTCGTTCAATGACAGCTTCTTGAAGATTTTGTGGCACTTTTTGCCTTTATTCAACGTAATCAGACAGGAAGACATGCAACAGAGGTGCAACAGATCTGTTGAGGACAAATAGCTTCCATATATATGGTTCCCACTCGACCGCTATGCCGTGTGTTGCTGCAAACTACTAAAAACATCCATAAATCAGGGTACTGTAACTGTCTAGAGTTGGCCACTATAAACTATATCTACACAACGCTTTTCTTAACCTACGGTGGTTCTAAGGCCAAGAAGCCATTAAGAACACTTGTGTATTCACAAATGTAATTATAATTTTTCAAAATTCAAACTGCGTTTTAAAGATTTCGTGTTCAATGTAGAATACCATAAATAAATCTGAGCTGTTCATACTGGAACATGTTTGATGATGGTCATGTACTAAATTCACCATTGTTCAGTGATAAACAATATTTTACAATGAAAAGCGACAGGGGCCACTTATTCCCACTGGTTGGACATGAAATACCAAAATACAAGACAGAAAAAAGGTGACTTTTAGTTTTTTATATCTTGAGGATGCCCCCCATACCATGCTGCCCAGGGAAGAAGCCACTGGATACACCCACTGAATAATTGGTAGAACTTAAAGGCTTTTTCTTTATTTTTACTTTTTAGGTTTGTCTTTATTTATTATTCATTGGCAATATGCACACCTTTATGTTTTTGAACCTACTTGCAGTCATTATTTTAACATTTAATTTCCTCTGCAGCTGGGAATATCCTTCACATTTTAATAGTGGCAAAAAGATCTTTACTATACTATCAATTGTTAAACAGTCTTGTCAGATTCATATTTTTGAATTTAATATGATTTTAAGGAGTGAAATTAAGAGCCAGAGTAGACATAAAATAAATCTGCAGTCCTGAATGCCATATGGCTTCAGTCGGTGTTTTGTTCTGGTTCAGGCAACACGGGAAATATGCTAATTAATCACCAATTAGCCTGTTTCCGGTGCGGTTTTTCCTCTCTTGGATGTCAGCCCCAGCTCTGTTGGATGCCAATTTTTAGGATCTAAAACCAAAAATTAGACTCAGCCGCCTCTTAATTAATTAGACTTGTAATTAGGTCAATTAATAAAATATATTTCTAGTTTCTGAAACCTCTTTTTATTTTTCAGAGAGATTCGGAACACAAAAATGTTGACGTATGTCGATCCAGAAGCCTTTAAGCATCTCCCGAACCTCAAGTACCTGTAAGTATTCTCAGAGGTTACTTCCACACTCTAACGGTACTAAAACTGAAAACATAGTTTAGATATTTTTAAAAAGTGGTGTTCCGTGGAGTTCCTATTAGTATTCAGAGTTGTCTCACTTTTGGAGAAATAGAGATAGGTTCTGACTGGAAATAGTCATCTCAAAGCAACTTGTTTCTAAAACATCAGATCAATTCAAACAAACGCTGTTTGGTTTTACTGCACTGATTTTTTATTTATCAGTTTTTACGCTTAAGGTTTGCAGTGAAAAAAAATAATCCAGAATTAAAGAATCTTTTTAAATGAGACACAAAATAAATGACTTCTGACTTTTTGAATGAGCCATAAATAAACAAGAGAGGGGAGTCATGGAATATTTATTTATGATGATACCAATCTCAAAACTGTGGGATGATTTTCAGATGGACCTCTATTGTGTATATCTTAAACGAAGCAAAAAAATATATTTGAGTGTGTTTCCTAATGGCTGTCAGTTGTACTACATTTTAAAGGTATAATTCAGCACTAAAAAATTATGAAAATATGTGTTTAAATCTCTATTTTTGAACTTTTTATTATGAACTTTGTTTCTCACTCTTTTGTAATTCAGGGGGATTTTGAATACTGGCCTGACTTTCTTCCCTGCTTTAAACAACATCCACTCAAACGACATGAACTTCATACTGTAAGTTTTGTTTTACAGTCAATAATAGCTATCTGTGTACTGTTAGTTCTAGAAAGTCCAGATGTTAAGCAGAAGGATTCATACACACCATGTTTGCACAGTAACAGGCAAAAAGGTTGTTACCATCAGTTTCTGCTTTACATCAAAATAAAAGCATCAAGTCTTTGTAAAACTTTCTGGTTATTTTTACAGTATAGTTATTTCAAAGTTCTGAGAAAGCACTTTGTACGTTATAAGACTTTAACCAGTAAATTAAAGACTTGTGTACCTAAAGTATATGTTTTATTATGACCCCAAAGTCTCTGGGACATGTCAGTGGAAAATGTTTTTGTGTTTTTGATCCTCTGTCGTGAATCCCAATATGTATCACAATTTGATAGACGGTTCGGTCACAGAGTGACATAGTGTGACTTTGGGACTTAGCTGAAATATTACAGAAGGTTTTCCTTGGCAATTCTTCTACCATCCCCAGTATTGGTCGGATGAGCCTGAAGTTGTGTCTCCATTTGCATCTGTATCCTGGAATGTTGCCACCAATCCCATTAACTTTTTGATAAATAAACTGCAATTCCTCCTTCGTTGTCCGAATCTAATTCCCAGATGTAACTCTTCCTCTTACTTGTTGCATATTTTATTTCCTCTCTGTTCTTTTCATCTCGTTTGCAGGGAAATTGTTAATCATCCCTCCATTACCGAGATCCCGGCCAACTCATTCCAGGGCATCACGAGCGAGTTTCTGACAGTGTGAGACATTTGCACGCCACCAACAGCAACTATATCTCCAAACATGTACAATAGAAAAAATAAAATAAAATGCAGGACCCCCGCCCCCCAAAACAAATATAAATATGTAGATAAATAAATATGTAAATATTTAAGGAACATTATCTCTAAATCCAGCCAAATCCTTAAAATAGGCCCTTCAAGAAACACTCAGCTTGAGCTCACTTTAAAAACATGTTCCCACATGAACGCCGACAACAAAAACAAGTACACAGACGTTCGCTCATGTTCACGTGTGTGAGTGTAGAAGTGTGTGGGAAGTGAGCTAAATGTTTGGTGTAAAAGCCACAAAATTACACAGACGGTTTTACTCCAAAGTGAGAAATAAGTCAATTCCTCTGAGCTCGGCTGGCAGATGGAAAGTATTTACATCCAAGAACATTTATTATACCACTTTCAATGGGATTTTTTAAATATGGAGCTTCTTTTTATCCAGAATGCTGTATGGAAATGGCTTCAGAGAGATACGACATCACGCCTTTAACGGGACAAAGCTGGATCAAGTGTGAGTATTTACATCATTTGTCTAACAGGATAACGTTTTTAATTTGCTTTATTTTACTTCTTGTATTCATTTATATTGAATCAGTTTCAGGGATTTCTTTTTATTCAGCTTCTTATAAACAGTTATAAACTCTCCAATGTCTGTTTGGTTAATTCAAGCCTTATTTACAAGTGGGCAAAGGTTTAGGTCTGGTGTTGCGGTTGTGTATCTGTAGCTAGATCTGAAAACTGCTGTTAGCAGATGCTCTTCATCCAGTCTGATTGAGCTTTAGTTATTTTTAAATCAAAAACTGGAAACAAATTATGTCACCTATCATGTACACCGGTAGACCTGAACAGTGGAGCCTCAGCTATTCACGGTTTCGTTTTTGCGGATTCACCTATTTGCGAATTTTTCTGTGGAACGTAACGGCAAATGATTCACGAAAAATCTGGAGAATTTGATTGTGAATGTTTTTTCATAGAAATTATGTAAGAGCTTTTAAATAAAATGCAGCTTGGAAAGCTTTAATACCAGGGCGCAGATATGCAGTGCTACTCAACGTGTTATTGGTTGCTGTTTGCAAAGTGCTGTACCTTTAAGAGCAAAGCTAACCAAGACCATGGATGTTAGCTTCTATGGTAATGCTAAAAAGGCTAGTACTTTGTGTATTAATGCATATTAAGGTATATTTAATGTTTGAACTATTAAAATAGGTAGTTATATGAGTTTTTGAGGAGGTGGGGTTTAACTGTACCTTTAAACAATTGCCCTGTAGTTGAATTCAAAGGTGTTTTTTCAAAGTTTTGCCCTTTCTTTTCTTCTCTTTCACATCAAATCCCAGTAAAATGCATTATGAAACTTTGTTAATGTAGCCTTACAAAATGGGAGAATGTTCAAGCGGTGCGGATACGTTTCCACGGTGTGTAGACGAAAACAGCTTGGGCTTTGTTTGGAATGTGAAGGTTCTAACTTCATTGACAGGCTATATCTGCTTTAAAAATCTGAAGAGTAATGGAGACGATTGTTGTTACAGCATTGATTTAGCATGAGACCATCGGAGCTGTTTGATGTTTTAAGGCTAATGAGAAGCTAAGCTAACTCATGGTTGGCTTTATATGTTTTTCTCCTCTCTTATCAATAAGCATCAGTGTGATGGCAGTCTATTTCATCTTCAAATTCTTCTTGGAGCCTGACACAATCCTCCGCTCTGAGCTCATTATTCAAACCACCCACATTTTGTGGACCTGTCCAGAAAACTTTAAAAAAAAAAGTTTTTTTTTTTTTAGTGAGAATCTAAGTGCCCATTAAATAACTTTTATACATTTCGTGCGCACCAGAGCACAGATTGATGTGCATTTACATCTAATCTGACAAAAACTGAAGTAATTTAATCTTTACATCCGATTGAGGTTTTCTCATCATTTTATTCATTTTTTTTAGGCGTATTACGGATGGTGCTAAATGTGGCTCAGTTTTATTGATTAGATTTAAACCATTTAAGATAAAATCAAGGGTTCGACGCACCTTAACTAAAATAACAGAGTGTAGTCATATTTCAGGAAACTTCACTGAAGTTTGTTATTTTTTAATCTAAAGGTTTGCGTTAATGCTGCACTGCGCCGCAACGTTCTTTGTGCGTATGCAGACATTTATACACGAAGTCCCTGGTGTGACTCTGATGATGTTTCCATCAAATTTATTTTATGTGCATTTTTATGTATCACATTCGAAAAGATTGATGGAAACGTCAAAATTCAAAATAATGTCCTCAATTTTCTGAAACAGTTTTACACTCATTGAGGTGATTTTCAGGGGAAGGACTCTCAATTTTTCTGAGACCTCGATGTCTCTCTGCGTAGCTGATTTGATTCACTACGAGCCAGTAGATGGAAACACAATTAATTTGCTTATTTAATTTTTTTTTACATTTTAAACACTTTCTTAAAATTCGCTTGACGAATTGGATTGAAATATAGGTTGCGACAAGCTTCCTGGTAAAATGCATAATCTGATTTGGTTCTACTCTGACTATAATGTCAAGCCCAATTTTAAAAAATTTAAAAAGCCATTTACAACAAGCTAAATATGCTGGGAATGTACAGAGTCTCAGCATATGTGTGTAAGAGATTAAGAGGTTTAAATCCTGGGCTAATCAACGTATGATTGGGAGAGATTAGGAGATTTCTCCCATCACAGAGAATAACACTTCAATAAACAACTGCAGAAATCTGAAGGAATTTCCTGGTGTAAAGGCCAGGGGCAGATGCCAGACATGGTTTCCCGTCATCGTCATGCTCTTGGGGTGGTTTCAACAGTCACAACAGCGTGGACAAAATATTATTTCGGGAAGCATTACAACATGTGTTGAATTCATAAATACTACCTCGGAGTCTTGCATTAATTTTTATCAAAAGGAAAAGACCATCAAGAATGGGAAAATATGTTTTTTGTGTATGTAGATAATTCAGGATTTGAGCTAATAAATTGTCAGATGTTGACCTTTTGAAAGGCAAAGAGCAGAAAAGAACTATCCAGAATATTAAACGCTGTTAGAATCAAAATCTTGAACTCCAGAACAACACACAGTACATAAACGCAGTAGTTCAGTTTAGCATCACTACTCTGAATCTCCATCATACACGCATTCCAACTTTTTGATTTGGGGTTTTAGTTCAATTAGGGACCTTCCATCTTGTCCAGAAATGCATTAAATATCATTTTGCTTGGATTAAGCCACCCCTGACATCTGGGATGTGTGTTTCCTTACCCAGAATTTTACTATGAAAGCAGAGGGATCAAAGCCGGTTCTCTTTGAGCCGTCTCATATATACTTCAAAATGTCCGTGTCCAGCTCTTGATTAGAAAGGAGGAATTTTTGTGTGGAGGAAGAAAAAAAAAAATCCAAGAGTGGCTAACAGGAAGAACGGTGGAAGAGATCTCCTCTAACAAAGTGAGATTCGTTCTTATGTTTGTGGAAATCAGTCATGTGTTTAACAATGCCTCCTATTTTTGCTTCTTTTTTTTTTTTTTTCATGCTTAAATGTTTCAGATCATCAAACAAATTCTATAATCAGACAAAAATACAACCATTTGTTTCAAATAATGATCTCATAATGATTGAGAAGAAAAAGACAATGTACAAATCAATAAGTCTCAGTGTGAAAATATAGCTAGCAATCCCTTGTTAAATCATGAATTAACAGTAATTAACGGCATATTTTGGTTTGATTTCACCAGACACACACAAACCTGTAGAAACAAGGAATCACATGGTGTGCATTCACACCAGCCCAGATCAGGTCGCTCTGCTCGAACTTTTGTTTGTTCATCTAAAAAATCCAATTCGTTTGGGGAAATGTGAACACGTAATCAAACTCTGATCCGCCTAAAAACCAAAGTCTCGGTTAAGTTGAAGTGAACTCTGGCGCAGTCCGAATGCATATCTGCCTGCCAAGTGGAACGGAGAACGTTCCAAAAGCAGTAAGTGAATTACAGCGCAAAGCATCCTGGGTAAATACGACAAAAACAAACGCAAGAGTGTAGCTAGTGAAAGAAATGGCTCGAGGTCTTTTGCAAAAGACAAAAAAGAAATACTACAACCGCTAAAATCGGATGCAACTCCATCTTTGTTTACATTTTGTGAAGAAGGAAGTTGCGCTCAGTGTCTTCATCACAGGTTTTCGTGTTGTTTCCTTCAGTGGTTCTTGGTGCAGCGCCACCACAGGTGAGGAGGTGAACAGCGTTTTCCATTAGTTTGGATCGTTTGATGTGGAGCAGTGTGAAATCGAACCACATCAGCTGAAAATGTAACAAGAGTTGCAATTTTGGTCCCCAATCGAACCGAGTCTATCAGACTATCAGGTGTAGCAACATCCTAGTCTGCCAACTTTTAGTAGGCTAAAAAAAATAAAAGTATAGAACACAAAACTGATGGACCACTGACTTCACAGGAAATCCTGAAGGAAAATGCTAATGCTCTGGCACACCAGGAGGTCTACCTCAGAATAGCTTTAAAAAATGATTATTTATTGATAAGATTCAATTGGATTTAAATACAATTGAATGTGGGATACACTTTATGGTACAACCAGGGGTTATGTATATGTTCCTATAGCAACATATTTTGCATCTACTCAGGTTATCTTTGTCTGATATTAAAATGTGAAGATCAGAAACATTTAAGTGTGACTAAAAAAAGCAAACATAATGTAAGACACTGATAAGGAAGCAGAAACACACTCCTTTTTCTTCCCCCCTCATACACTTTTCACCCTCTGGTCCAGGGACTTGCATGTTTTGGATATGAGGTATTAGTGATATTAAATTAAGACACTTTCCGCATTTTACAACCCCAACGCTGTCCTTGTGTCTTTGTAAGAGTCCAATTAAAGCACTGTTCTGCAACTCGTGAGTCTTACCACACGGGTGTTTGTGTTGGGAGTCCGATTTCCTCCGTGAGGAGAACTGATCCCAGCACGGCTTGACCAAGATAAACACACCCCTCCGCTGGTCTATTATTCTAATTAGATTTAAGGGATTTGGGGAGACGTGTCTGAAGGTGCTCAACATTTAAGGAGAACACCTTCGTATCTCATCGTTTCCAATTAGAATCAACAGCATGCGGTAAGTCAGTGAGGCCTTCATCTGTCATGTTTCGCCCGACTAATGAGAGGAAAATAAACAGGAATGTGGAGTGATGAGGCTTGAGAAAATATTATGGCAACCAGGACAGAAATGCGCAGAATGTCTTCTTCTCCTGTGAACTTCTGTGCTCTCTTTTGTCCAGCGACCTACACAGAAACGTGTTTTTGACCAGGATGGACGGCCGGGCTTTTGCAGGAACCATCAGTGGCCCGACACTTCTGTAAGTAACCAGCCAGTTTCAGAAAGTCAACTATTTGTATTAAACCTATTGCAATAAGCTATTGATCTCTTAATCGTGTGTTGAATTAAAATGAGCTCAATAATTTCCATTGAGATGATTCATATTTTATGAAGGGCAGTTTTGCTTACAGAAACATCACAATCCATTTTATTTATACCTTCGATTGTGTGTGGTTTTTAGTTCAGTTTTGTTTATTGTGTTTCATTTTGGATATTTAAAATGTCTTCCAGTTCAAGTGTGAAGCATTCTTCACAAAATTAAAGTTTAGCTGTCTTCAAGAGATTTGAACTTGTATTATTATCCCATTAACATTACTTGAAAATGGTCTCAAAACAACATGACAAACAAAAAACACATTGAACAAGTACAAATACGTATAGTATTTACAAAATGTACAGCATATGTATTTCTGCATAGAAAACAGCAGTAGACGTTTTACAAAAATATTTGCACAAACAGTAGGAAAGCTATTTGGAATAATAAAATGGCAAATAACAGCAGAGTCATAAAGGCCTGTTGAGTTTTGTTGGGAGTAGTAACGGTTATGAAGTGAAACGCCTTCTTTGAAGAAGGATCTGGGATATTTCTTTTGTGCACCTCGGATGCAGCAATCTGTAGTTTTTTTCCTTTGACCTGATTTGTAAGTTAAACATGAAGATCTTTGTGTGACAAATATCCTTACATTTTGTGCCATGTTTTGAAGAAAACTCCTCAGAAAACATCGCATTGCTCTTTGCTTTGCTTTGTTTATGCAACGTTTGGTTTGGTTTTATTCGTATGTATTTTTAGAAATTAAAAAATTCCCATATTTTTTTCACTCAAATGTGGCAAACGAATAAAATGCTAACTAATACCCACGGTTTGGTAATTATTCACACTGTCAAGTTCCTGTGAAAATTCAACAAAGACCTTCTTCGTACTACGCAGGCTAGACGAGCGATGGCTGCAGGACGGGATAAAGTAAAAGATCTTTCCCCCACAGCTGCGATGGTGTGACTGGGAAATCTGACACGCATTGTGTGCAAACGTGATGAAGAAAGTTCAGCCGGACGTTGCTGTTATTTTCTGCTCTCCTTTCTCACTGAAGCATCCTGGATGACACAACCGTTTAGTCTTAGCCGCATCTTCTCCGGTTGGGTAAACAGATTTGCACGCAGGTCGTTTACCTCTGTTCCACGGAGGAACATGTCCTGAGTGAGGTCACCTTCATGAGGTCATGAGTTAAACATCTGGAAATGACAAAATCAGACCTTCACTAGAATCTGCGCTGCCTCACACAATGAGCCCCGTGGGAGGAAAGGAGAGCAGAGGACGGAGAAGTGTGTGGAAATGGGACAGCAAAAAAATAGGACAGATTCTTCGAAAATATGCAGAGCTGTTTCTTTATTTTATCAAATTAATCATTAGGTTGAGTTAAGATGTGTTAAGAAAACTAAAAAAGAATACAACAGAGAGCTTGGAGTCTTGGAGGATGTCGGTGCAGTTGCCAATCCCCTGCATGTCTCTGTCCTTAGAGAAGTTGGCCTGACTTTGGCATGGTGGCTTAATAAATACCAAATGTAATTCCTGAAAGATGAAGAACTGAGGAGTTAATTTGAGGAAACAGATGGAGACTATTGTTTGGGCTGTCACTGAGCCCTCTGGACTCACCATGACCAACCCCTCCTCATCACCCCGCATGGTGATGGGTCTAGGCCTCCACTGTCATGACTTGGAGTGTTTTCACACCTGATAGTCCAGTAGACTCGGTTCGATTGGGGACCAAAATTACATTTTTAGCTGGTGCAGTTTGCTTTGTCACTTCACTGTGTCAAACGATCCAAACTCTTTGAAGAACACGTTCCCCCTGTCGCCTGTGGCGGCGCTGCACCAAGAACCACTAAAGGAAACAATCGGAAAACCTCTTGAAGAAGACACTGACCGCAACTTCCTTATTCACAAAATGTAAACAAAAATGGAGTGGTGTCATCTTTTAGCGGTTGTAGGATTTCTCTTTTCTCTTTGGTAAAAGACCACGAGCCTTTTCCCCCCACTAGCGGTAGACTTGTGTGTTTGTTTTGGTTGTATTTGCCCAGAATGCCCTGCACTACAGTTCGCCTCCTGCTTTAGTCCACTTCAAGCAAACCAAGATGGACCAGAGTTCACTTTTTTTTTTTGGTTCGCATCAAAAGATGTGAATTGCACATTCACATCTCCCCAAACGAACCAGACTTTCTAAGCAAACAAACTAGAGATTGATTAAAGCAAAAATTACTTGAAGCTATCGATTTTTATATATAATTCATACATAGACAGATTAACTACAACTTCTAAAAGTTTGATTTGTTTTTAGGAACTTTTGTGTTAGATCATGTGCTTCTAAACAGCTTCTTATACTTTTTGTCTTTTTTGACAGATTGGAGAATCTTTGCCCTATCCAACATAAAACTATAGCGTAGATGGGAGTTAAACGTCACAGATGCATGAAGGTATGCATCTATGATGCATACCTTAGCAATAGTGTCCTATTGCTAATTTTCACTAAAAGGTGCCAACTTTAATACTTAAATAATACGCAAATAGATAAATTACACCCTTTAAATTAATCTATGTTGCTATAATACCTTGTGAAAAATCAGCTTCTCCATGAAATCTTAATGTGCAGCAAAGAAAAAGTAGAAATGTGCAGTGGTGCGTGAACAAAGATATGGATCATAATGGACTATTATTGTTCTGAACCAAACTTGGCAGACTTTTATTGTGTAGTTTTTCCCTTAAAGGCCTTGAATGAGTTCCCTATTGAGCTTCTTGATACTGTTAAGAACCACTAATAACAGGATTCCTGCACGCTGTTTTTTTGCACCATCGTGCAAAAGAAACTGTAAACAATTGGTTGCTTTTGACGTAAGAAAACCACCATTGATTGGTTACCTCGAGTCGTGTCACGACCCGAGTCGGCCATATGAAATTGAACACAGCGCTATGTGCTGTTTTAATTTGTCAGTTGCGCAACATATCACATCTTCTACCTCAAACCAATACTGGTTCTCTGGGCATCTTGTGTAGTTATTTTCAGGTGTTGCAATCCTTCTGTTGCTTTCAGAGACGTCTCCCAGACAAGAATCACATCGCTGCCCTCCACAGGCATGGGCTCCCTGCGGAAGCTGAAGGCGCGCGACACCTGGTCCCTCAAGAAGCTGCCGCCCATCAAGGCCTTCAAGCACCTCATCACGGCTGATCTCACCTACCCGAGCCACTGCTGCGGCTTCAAAAACCTCAAAAAGAAACGAGGGTGAAGTTTTTTCTTTTTTCCTTAAAATCAGCTCTGTTAACGGAGGCTGAAACGTAAGGGAAGTGGGGGTTTCAGAAGTGTGTGCATGTAGTGTAGGGTTGGATGATCTCCCACAGCGAGTGGGAGGCTACCGCACTTGTAAAGTGTGGATCTTGGCAGGGATTGAATCAACTCTCTGATGCCTTTACCTATAGCTCCTCACAGCGCTCCCATAATTAGTGTCACTCTCTGGTGTTATTGGAGGAAAAAAACGGTTGAGTCACATAATGATTCCAAAAACAGAAGTCCTCCGTCTTCATCTGTATATGTAAACGGTTCAATAGCCCACTTACCGCCCAGCAGGGAAACGGCTAGCTGCATGAAAAAACATATCCACTGAGATCAACAGAGAGTAGCACAAAACTAGGAAGTAGAAGGGAAATACAAACATCTGAAAAGTGTGGCATGCCTTTTTATTAAGCCCCCTGTACTTGAATTCCCCAATATAAAGTTCAGTGCAACTTAGACATTTGTAATTTAACTTCTGAATAAATCCAGATTTGCCTTCCTACACAATTTCGCTCAATTCTCATCTTCCTTCATTGCACTGTCTGGGATTTCTCCCATTGAGCTCAATTTCTCTAGTTGAATTTCAGCCAGGCCAATCAGGGAAGAGATGGACGAGTTGGGAATGATGACGTCAGTTTTCTATATCATTTCCGAACTGTAGTCTATCTGTAGTTTTAGCAGTCGAAGCCGTTAAGTCCATGTTGATTACGCTTCCAAATGTTTAACAATTAAAGTTGGAACAAGAGGAATGTTGAAGATATTATTGCTGAAATGTGAATCGGCTCGGCACTACTCTCTTCACAGTGGGAGATGGTTGTTTACAGTGCATATCATTTCCGGTAAGCTTCATAACCTCTGTAGCATTACATACACCACAGCCAAATATTAGTGATTGGGTAAATTAAGATGCAGTTGTTTAAAACTTCAATAGAGTCCACACCTCCAGGAAGCAATCTTTTTTCAATGAGGGTTCAGATGAAGCAAAGCATAGAACAATGGACTATCAATGAAAAAGGGCTATAAGAAATTTGTTTTACAGTTTGCCGCAGGCCATGTGGAGGACGCAGCAAATGTAAAGGTGGTCCAATCAAATGAGAGCAAATTTGAACTTTTTGGGCCTTTGGCTTAACACCAACACTCCACACTACCTTGGACTCTATGAGAAAACATGGTGGTGGCGACATCATGCTGTGTTGAGGGGAAGGTTGGAGTTACAATGGAATGGTTTTAATCACCTCATATTCATGGGTACATTTGCTTTACTTGTGTGGGTGTATCACAGAAAAGTTGATGCAGTTTATGGCTTTAAGTGTGTGGTTTAAACACAAGAAAATGTGGAAACATTTAAGATTGCTGGGTTATAATTTTAACATTATTTACTGAGCCCAGTCTTATTGAATTCTCTGTTTGTGTTTCCCAGCTTTTTGGAGTACATCATCTGTAACCTAACCGCTTTCTATGACCACTACCACAAGCGGTCTGTGGGACCCCTTGACACGCCAACTCTTCAAGGAGACGGAGTCGTGGAAACGCTTCCAGAGCATGAGCAGAGAAACGAAGGTCATGAAGAGCCGCAGCAGGACCAGAGGAGAGGAGACTTCCATGGCAACCTTTACTACCACGCCTACTTTGGAGGCCAGCCAGACGAGGAAGTGGGCTTTGGAGAGACCCTCAAGAACCCCCAGGAGGACAACAGCCAAGACTTTGACAGTCGTTATGATTATGTGGTGTGCGAGGAAGGAGGGGAAGTGGAGTGTGCACCGGTGCCCGACGAGTTTAATCCCTGTGAGGACATTATGGGCTTTGGCTTCCTTCGGGTGTCCGTGTGGTTCGTGAGCTTGCTAGCTGTTTTGGGGAATGTGGTGGTGCTCCTGGTGCTGCTCACCAGCCACTACAAGCTCTCAGTCTCTCGCTTCCTCATGTGCCACCTGGCCTTCGCCGATCTTTGCATGGGGATTTACCTGCTGCTCATCGCCTCTGTGGACCTCCACACCCGCTCTGAGTACTTCAACCACGCCATCGACTGGCAGACAGGCCCCAGTTGTGGACTTGCTGGGTTCTTCACAGTCTTCGCCAGCGAGCTGTCCGTTTACACGCTGACAGTGATCACTCTAGAGAGGTGGTACGCCATCACCTTCGCCATGCGGCTGGACCGCAAACTCCGTCTACACCACGCAGCGGCCGTAATGGTGGCTGGCTGGGTCCTCTGCCTCCTTCTTGCTCTGCTGCCACTGGTTGGAGTGAGCAGTTACCAGAAGGTCAGCATCTGCCTCCCAATGGACACTCAGTCCACTGCAGCTCAGGTCTACGTCTTGCTGGTGTTGGTCCTAAACATTCTGGCTTTCTTTGTCATCTGTGCCTGCTACTTTAAGATCTACTGCACAGTCCACAACCCCCAGTACCACTCTGGATCCAAGGACACCAACATTGCCAAGCGCATGGCTATCCTCATCTTCACTGACTTCTTATGCATGGCTCCCATTTCCTTCTACGCCATGTCGGCTGCTCTGAACCGACCTCTTATCACCGTTTCCAACTCCAAGATCTTATTGGTGCTCTTTTACCCGCTCAACTCCTGTGCCAATCCATTCTTGTATGCCATATTCACAAAGGCCTTCAGAGGGGACATATTCATTCTCCTCAGCAAGGTAGGACTGTGTCAGCAGCAGGCACAGCTGTTTAGAGGCCAGACCGTCTCATCGAAGGGCAGCAGTGGGATTTCTCAGGTGCGGAGGGAAAAGGTTAGGAAAGGCGGAAGCCTTGGACAAGAAGAGATACCCATCAACCTGAAGAGCCTCTCCAGACAAACCTATCACCCAGGAATCAAACCTGACAATAACCAAGACCTGGACACGTGAGCTGACCATCAGCTTGAGGAAGAAAAGCCAAGAAAGGTTCATTTTGTTGAAGCCTTGAAATAGTTCTGGACAGATCTGTTAAAGTATTAAACAGAAAGCTCCGTAATCTGCGTCAACTTTATTTTTCAGACCCTGTTTATGGAATTTCAATCACTATGAATTTAATTAAATGCTATCCAAGTTGTAGTCCCCCATATTTAAATAGCATTTGTAGAACAGCTCTGAAAGTATTTACTAAGTAAAATAGAAAAGCATAGACAAAAGTTTCTGTCTTCTACATTTAGCATAGGTTAAATATTACAAATATATCACATTAATTTGAGCTATTTGAAGTCTATTATTTGAACGTATATCGTCTTCAACTGCCTGCTGGCTCAGTGCCCATCAACTGTGGAAACTTCATACAAACACCATTTATTTAAAGTATGGAAAAATAGTTTCATTTACCATTATTCACAACTCTGTAATTATGAAAAACAATACAACAGCGACAGAAAAATACATGGATTTTGTCCATATTTTACCGTATACTACTTCTGGGAAATTTAGTCTGTTCTTTAATATTTTAAAGCAGATACAAGTATTTACAGTATGCATAAGTCTTTGGAAACCTGTTTTAGTGGCATGTGTGGATAATAATAAAGTACTTATTCACTTCTGTTCTTTATAGTATTGAATTTTGTGGAATGTGATCCCATATGGTAGCTTTTTGTTTGTTGATTCAGCTCAAGAACGCAACGGTAGAGTTAAGTAAAAAATCATTCATACCCCTGGCAGAGTTAGGCTTAAAGTAATCGTTTAAATTTAACAGCATGTTTCTATGGGCTGGAAGTAATACAGATGGTTTGGCGTGGCCCAATCGGAGTCTTGACTTGAATCTGTAGAGGATTAAGGTGATGGCAATGTTTCCATCACCGTAAAGTGATAGAAACAAAATCAAGCGAGAGATAAAAGGTAAAAACATAAAAAACAAAAGTGTTATGGAAAGCAGCAACAAAAGAGAGACTGTGGAAGTGTGTCTGACGGCAGGGACACCTTCATCTAAGAGGGCACATATAAAAGCAACCACATCCCCAACGTCCATCATGCATGTGAAGCACAACACAGAAACCTCCATGTTGCACCACGCACCTGATGGTCAGTTTCTGAGAGTGTATGTACACTTCTGGAATTAACTGTCGCTGTTGACTTTTAGGGAAAGTTGTATGGCTTTGGAGGGAGTCGTCCTTCATTCCTCCAGCTGCCTTGTTCAATATACCAGAAACTCTAACAAGAAAGCAAACTCTCACCATGCTTGACAGCTGATAGTTTGAAAGCCGCACATTGACTCCAAATGTCAGTCTTGTTTCATTCGGCCATTAAACCTTTTACCAGAAATGATTTGGCCTGGCAGTGTAGGCTGCTGAGAATGTAATTCAAGTTTCAAGATTTTAGTTATGGGGCAGCGGATTATTTCTTGGGCTACACCCCCTCAGGCCACGATGATGGCAAGTTAACTTCATTGGTGGACAGGGACACTGGTGGCACAATAGCCTTGCTGGATCCCTGATTGTTCCTGGACACCAAAAGCAATTTGTCTTCATCAGAAGTTGAGAGTTTGGGAGAAATGGTTGTCCAACTGGACAATGATTCAAACGCACATCCAAGCTCATTTTGGAAAGTGACTGCATATTTGGCTTTCTGAATGACCTCCCCAAAGCTTTGACCACACAAAGAAATTTATGAACTACCCCTAAAAGCCAGAGTTGCTAAATGTGCCACATTACTAAACCTAAATGACCCAAAATCATAAAACTGTAAGGTTTAGTTTTAATAAAAAAACAGGAGTCACATCAGCTCACAGTAATCAGTACTTGAGTAGGACTGTACAATTTCTAACAAGGCGTCTATATTTTCCACATCTTCCAATCAGTCACTAAAAGCAGTCCAGCATTGAGATGTGGATCTTTAGAGAGCTGAAGAGATGATGTGCCTGGCTGCTTTCACAAGGGCCTCTCCTCTCGTCCTGTGCTGCTGCAGCTCACAGTTCAATCAAAGAAGATTGAAATCAAAGTCAGTGTAAACATTGGAGAAACACAAAGCAAGTGGAAGGTGTTTGAGACGGTGGCATGAACTTTAGAGTGTTTTCCTATTTGGGATTATGTGTAATTTCACTCTGAAACATGGGTAGACTCGTAGTCTAATTATTGGACGGAATGAGACTCCATTTATTTGAAAATTCTTCCTCCTGCTGGTTCTCAGGATCCGCCGATCATTCCTTTCCCCTTATTACAAATAAACCAGTATCTGAATTGCTCCTCAAATAAGCAAGGCATGACCCAAGATGCACCTCACCAGCAACAGATTTGGTTTCAACACACAAAAAAACTGAAGGAAAAAAAAAACTGTGGTTGTATTAAGGATTTGGAGTAAGATTTAGCTCTTGAAGTCCTTGCCTTGATGTCGTCACTCCTTACGTTGCTTGGATGGTCATTGTGAAGCTCCTCTCTCTCCGAGAAAACTCTTGAGTGACAAGTAAAGTGGAGAGAAGAGTTAAAACATCTATTGATTCGCAAGTGGTTTCACTTCTATTACCTTATAGAAATATTTTTTTACACATTTTACAACATTAAAACCTTAATATTTTTATTGGTGACAGACCAACACATATAGGGTTTACAAAATTTGTTTTGCAAACAAAATTCAGGGAAGTCTGTCATTAATATGTATTTAACCCCCTTTACTCTGACTCCCCTAGATTAAATCTAATAAAACTTAATTGAGTCCACTTATGTGTAATTTAATCTCAGTATAACCCAGCTGATCTGTGAAGTCCTGAATAGGTAATCAGCAGATAAATCAAATATAATTTCCAGGAATGTTTCATCCACCCAAGGATTACATTAAGATTTAAGTTTTACATTAGTCACAAATTAGCTAGATCAATAATTTATTAATAATAATAATTTAATCATATGTTGCGCAACAAGCATTAAGTCATTCATTAAAAATGTATTCTGTTAGCATAAACTGAAAATAACCCCAGGCACCATAGGTGCTAGCAATGCTACAAACGTTAGCATTTCAAAAGATGTCAAAAACCTACCATAAAATAAATTAATAAATAGGCCAATGACAGTTAAGCTGAATTGTTAAAGACCCTTAAAATATTAACCACAAATAATCAGTAGTCCTACTTTAGGACCTTGAATGGTTTATACACGAACTTATCAAAAAATAACCAAACTCCTTTAAGGAGTTATGTTCTGTGATCGCAGAAGTGGTAAAACAGGCTAAATGGGACCTAAAACAAGTCCTAGTGGTACAATTACCAACCCTGAACAAAAGGATCCAAGGAACTTGAATGTAAAGCAACTCACCGCTGAATCTGGTAACTTAATATCACGTTTTCATCGAATTTTGGGACGCAGAAGTGACAGCTCCACTTCAGCCATGCACAGACGGCACTTGTACAGCGCCACCAGTGGCCGGAGGAATACACAAGCTTGGCTGGTGAAGTTTGCTAAATGCCCGAAGTCACCCTTTCTTGTTTATGTGTTCTTTCCTTGTGCCAAGCTTTAGAGGGAGGGCTGGTGGGATTTGTTTTAGGTTTAACAGTAGATATTCTGAAAAAAAAGAAAAATCCTGGTCATAACATATTCTATAGACACACTGTAAAAAAGAAATAAATAAAAATAAGCCCTCTCCATTACATCCTGTAATCTCCGTACATATGGAAAGCATACCGGAAATTCCACTTTTTTTCCTAACAAAGAAAAATATGGGAAATATGTGACCAAAAAAAAAAAAAAGAAAAGAAATTCCAGAAACATAAACTCGAGAGCTGCGTAAAGAATGGTTCTAATTGTTTGCCTGCTGATTTCTAAGGAGGACTGTTTTGGCTCTTTCTAATTTTCTCAAGATTTGCTTAATGAAAAGCACAATACTGAGGTAAGGAGCAAGAATGCAACACAAGATTTAAAGCTTTGAAGAGGCATCATCACATCCAGATATCTGGTGTAGACCCCTGTAATTGCAGACAGCTTCAAATGTAGCACACAAGGATTCTCCTTAAAACCCCCTGAAGCCTCTGCGTCCTCATTTGCTATTGCCACTCCTCTTTCAATCTTTGTCTGGCTCTATGGTTAGAAAGCCGGGCAGAGAGATGTTAGAGTTGGGGATATGATCCTTTCCGATTACGATTGATAAAGGAGATGGGTTGAACTTCCTCCTTCTCTCTCTGGGAAATACGACATTAAGCTAACTCCACAGATGAACTGAGATTTATTCATATCTGACTAAAGCAACATGTGTAAAATCCCTGTACCCCAAGTCTATAGATACAGACAATTCAGAAGGTCTAGCATGAAAAGAAATAGTACAACCGGAATGGTCTTTGCCCCATTTAATTCTTTTTTTTAAAACTATGCAACAGTCAACAGTTCCTGAACAAACTCCACTGAATCCAACACCCGCCGCTGATTAGCAGTGACTGTGGCCAAAGGTAAACATCTCCACTGGCCAGCAGCTCAGTCTTGAAGTGGTCAGGAGGAGCCACTTGATCAGAGGCAGCTGGGGAGCCATTACTCCTCTACTGGGTCTGTGTGAGGGTCAATACAGCCTTGTGAAGTGAGATGGATGTCTTATTTAGCTTCCAATCCATTCACAATCAACTCCCAGAGTAGATTCTGACTCAGCCGTAATCCCGAACACCACACCTTTCCTCCTGATTACGCTGAAGGAAAGTCATAGGGATTGAGATCGTTTAGATGGGAGTTATGAAGTTGTGAAGATGTTCGGGGAAGAGTTAGCTCAGAAAAAAAAAATCCCAAGTTGCAACAGTCAAAAGTCCAGCCCCATGGCTAATTCACTTTGCTGCAAATTGTCCTTACATTGTCAGTCTGTGACAGAAAGAGATGCAGAAACACAGATCCACACCTTTTGTTTCAAGCTGACTGGATAAGCGCACCACGCCGTAGACGAGGCTGTACGCAAATCCCAAGAGGAAAGGCATGTTGGCGCAGTTTCAGCTAGTGTACACACTTCACTTTGCAATCCTTGTTCTTGCTTTTTGAACTTTGCTGCCATTTACCACCAGTTATCTAACGGTTGCCTAAAACAGCTGTA